CCCCTCAAATATTACTTATGTGACCCCCCCCCCCCCCATCCCCGTCCCGTGTTTTGTCCACTAGTGCTATATACACACTAGCCGCAAAGAATTTTAGACGGATGTTGCTTCAAGACGTTGTATATATTTGTGAAAATTCCAAATGTCATCGTGCATGGCAGCCACTGAAATGTAACTTATGTGAGTTTGGCAACGCCCAGTAAATTAAATATAAAAATTATCACCTTGAAAATAAGCATTTATGATGTTTCTGTCGTGCAGATTAAGACATGCACCATCAGTTATTTTCTGAAATCTTTTATTAGGTCTTGCGTATGCTATGTAAATAATAATACGGCAGTGTACCGCCGCTGGGGCACGCGTCGGTGTTCCAATCACATTCACTATACACTGAACTCTGGCTCACAGCCATGCAACTACAAAGTGTCAGACACACATTACCGATATTATCCTCAGCAAGATTCCTAGCAAGATTCCTAGCCTAGTCTTAGTACTCTGGTGTACCATCACACGTTCATATACGTACATCATCAGCCTACTGCCGCTTTGAATTGAGGTTTTCTAGCAATGCGCTACATTCAATAAGGTAATTAATCCTGGCCTTATCCAACGACGCCGTGAAATCGGAGTGGTGGCTTTCATTAAGGTTAAAACTAATAGTGGATGCACGATTCACAACACGATCAGAGTAACGTGGCAACCGTTCTGAAAACGTTCTACAAACATTTAACGTCATGTTAGCATAATTAATAAATATAATAATGATAATTAAAAATAATCCAGCTGTGCTGTGCTAGCTTAGCTAGTGGCACTAATAACATAGTCATAATCTGGCTATGTTAGTGTAAACTGAACTTTACAACAGTAAAACTACACATAAAGAAGCCCTTATAAAAATTAATAACCCAGACGAGGGATTTTTGTCTAAAATATCTTCACACACGATACAGCCCAGTCAGACATGTTGATACCCCAGCAATGACATAAATCATTACCGTTAGATACAAGCTAATCTATTATACTAATACAGCCACAAACGTATCCAACTTTATCTAGGAGCATGCAGCCGCATGGTCCGACCTTCTGGTGACCCTGAGAATCATGAGAATCTGCACTGTGTACATACGTAAGGAACACGTACAGCATTTAAGTATGCTGACACATCCTTTTAACAGCATTCTTGAAGTGGAGAACAGTAGGGACCAAGGGTTCTAGGAGCCATTTTGAATAAGTGTTGTATCCTTAAAGTGATTAAGTCACCGTAAATAGTGAAAATGAAAATAAAAATTCCACTTTTTCACAAAATATAAGTAATTCTGTTCACTTTTTATGGTTAAATTGCTGCATTATACTTCCTATTTTACTATATTGTTCGATGTGAACATACACTCGTGATTCATACATAGCCCATAGCAAGCAATTAATGTCAGGAACATTATATCAAATCGTCCAGGTTACATGTAACACACTGACAGTACAGAATGCCATAGAAATTATACGATTTAAGGAGCATAAACCTTCTTCAACCAAATTTAGCTTTTGAAATTTCACTGTGACATTGTAGCATCATACATCCAGGCATGTATAGATTCTACTAGCAAACCCGGCAGTCAAATTCTTTCCAACAGTAAACAAATCCATGTTTAACCCTCCTCTTGAGGGCTCAAAAGGTAATCCGACAACTTACTCTTCGCATGTCCAGTGAAAGTACATTTCATGGGTCTGTTTCAATAAAGCCATAAAAATGTAGCTCACCACTGAACACACAAAAAGTTTTTCATCGCTCCGTCCAGAACCATGTCCTCAGAAAATGTCTAAAATCTGGCCCTGTGCCCCATGTGACCTTTGACCTGTGACCTCAATTTCGGCACAGTGATGCTTTTCCTACCATGATGCTAATACACCGACCATCACGAGACCTAGGTCGGAGCCGTTTAGATTTGTGCCGCAATCTGGCCATTTCGCTCGCTATACCTTAAGTTAAGGAGGGAATGTTCCCCCTTCTTTTACACCTCTTGACCTTTGACCTTTGACCCCCAGCTTCGCCATCCCAACTCGTTTTCGGATTACCCCCCCACGTCCCGAATATCATGACCGTACGTCGAGCGGTTAAGATTTGTGTCCAACTGTTGACGGACGGACGGACAATCGTGCGATTCTACAAGCTGCACCTGACTACGTCAGATGAGCTAAAAATAAGGCAAATCCATCTTTTCCTGGATCACTTCAGATAACTGTACATCATAACAGCCATAGGCCAGCTGGTTATTTATACACCATCACAATATTCCGATTATTTCAACATTATAACAATACTCCGATTATCTCAACATTATAACGATACTCCGATTATTGCAACATCACAATAATATTCCGATTAACATGCCCAATTACAAACTGTTCAGCAATGGTCTTCAAAACATTGACCATGTCTGCAACTGTGATGTCCTGCTTCTATCTGCCTGGGAAGATGGTTGAAGGGAGCTCTATCCACCTGACTGGGAACACGATTGTTTGCATCCGAAAAACTAAGCTTGCGATTGGATATCGTTGTTGGCTAGCCAGTTGGTGTCACTGCAAACATAAATGTTAACACGTTAAATCAATTTACTCTAGATCTTTTACTGAAATCTATTAAAGTATGTGTCGCGTGTTGTCATACACAATGTAATAACGATGATGCAACTATCATACCACATATTACAGTGTTCGAAATAAAGGGAAAAATTTGCTTGTCCGACGGTCAAGCTACAAGATAGTTTTGCTTGTCCTGCAAAATTTTGGCTGTGCAGGAACATTTCCCTGCACTAGTGCAATACTAAGCCATAGCAGAGCAATGGAAGCAATCCTGGGCACCATTGCAAAATGTTAAATGTAGAATAAAAGTGGATTAAATAAAATAAACGTCTATATTTATTCTAACCACACAATAAAGATGTAAAGTTACACAAATACCTCGTTTTATTAGCTGTGGGAAGAGCGCCAATACAACCGGAAGTGACGAATTTCGTCAGGTTGTATCTAAAAGACGAATCGAAAATACGAAACCGGACTACAAAAATGGCGGCGGCCAGCGATGGTAGAAAATGATGAAAATTGCTCTAAAAAGTTGCTCTAAAAAGCTGCTTGTCCAGCGGACAAGCTACTGGACAGGTCTACTTGTCCTCCGTGGAAATGGACAAGTGAGGACAAACGGATAGCCGTTATTTCGAACACTGTATTAGTGTGTGTTTACTGTTTAGCCAGTGTTCTATCGTAGTTCACCTTGGATCGATACATCCAGGATATGTTGGAGCGTAACCTGGGCTAATATGAGTGCAATACTCTTTTTGAACCCTTTTATACAAAATTCATGTGCTTTTGATCATATCGATATCGATGCATTAACTTACTCTTCAATGATGGATTCATTTAAGCGACACTCCATGTCCCAGTCTTCGCCATTGTCGTGAACATGGAGTTGGATGTCAGGTTGGCTGTGTTGCATGTCTCCAGGGGATCTCTCCCCTTTTACAGCCGCTGCAAGCCATGTATATTATTATCAATGTTAACAGCATACACGTGCAACGATAACAAACAGACACACATCTTCTGATTCTCTGTTCATTTTTTTACAAATTATTGGCGATTTTTTAGCGATAATATATATCTCATAAACGAGAGAATCTAGAACACAAACATACAAACAATGGAGGCATGTTCTGCTCTCCCATTCACAAAACTAATCGATCCAGTAATCGAAGAATACTGATTGTGTTATTGATGATTACTAATCGATCATTAGTAATAATCACTAATCAATCATTAGTAATAATCACTAATCAATCATTAGTGATGATTACTGGTCATTAGCTATGAATAATGATTGATGATTGACATACCCAGATGCTGGATTTGTCCATCGAGTTGACCCGTGAGAATTCGCTTCAGTGCCGGCATCGGCCTCCGCTCACAGTTCCAGAAGTCTTCCTTTCGTCCTGAGAGTCAACAAAAACTAACTAATTACCTAATTACCTAATTAACTGCAATCGAATCGAATCAAAAACGAGCACAGAAGACGAGCAACTGACAGTGAACTTGTTGGTTCTGCACGCTTACTGGCAGGGACGATGAGAGAACATTCACCCGTCACGTACCACCCTAACCGCATAAACATGGTCGACATACAGAGTATAGAACTAACAACCGCCTTAAAGGACATTGTTGGCATCTCCCTTGATTGATCACGATATGCTGGTTTACGTTAAGGTCGGATCATCCGAATAAGCGTCACGGCGATCCTCACTCTCTTTTCGTCACTTATTTTAATAAATTACTCGTTCGTCACGTTAAGACACGGTGCTCGCACCTCGGTGACGTTTTCTTTTGAAGGTCGTCGCACCCGACCTGACGCCGTCCACTAACTCCCGCACGCTGTCCTTGAGGTCGTCGTCGGCAACGTCTATGGCGCCCTCTAGGATGAGTCTCATCTCGCGCCTAGTGAGAAATGGCTTCTCTACAAAGGCCAGCTTGTGCTTCAGCGCGCTGACCTGCTCCTGTGTATAACAGCCAAAACTCGTGTTGTCAACAAAATGGACACCCAGTCTATAAATATAAAGGATGCAATTTGGGGTTTAAGAGAATTTATAAGAGAATATACTATATATATACAGGGTTTCTTCTGAGGGAAAATTAGACAAAGGAGTTAATGGCCAGTTTGGGAAAAAAACGCGCATGATGGATTCAAATACAGGATGTATTGATATACTTATAGGTATATAGATACAGGATATACATGAACATTTTGACAACGGCAGTGTGCCACTGTGCCTCTTATGTATAAGAAACCCTGATATATAAGAGAATTTAAATCAGTTCGACAACCTAAGAGAAGACTTCTGAGAACTGGTCATAAACAAACGGCCAATTCTCCACGATAGCAGAGCGAGTTCGAAACGTGGCGAGAAATCGCAACGAGGAAAATAATATTCACGGCGGATCTATCGACTTCTCCACATGACCGAATCTCGAATGCTATCCTTATTAAAATTATAATTAAATTTCAATATGATAATTAAAGTTATGATTAAATTTATATCCAAGTAATCGCCGTGCGAACGAGCCCCGCGACCTCGTGACCTTCACGCCGCCTTTGCTGACCTCGCCTGCGACGCTCCTGCCGCGCGGCTCCGTCGTGCAGCCGCCCGGTTGGATCGACGCGTAAACGTTCTGCACACAGGTTTTCTGGAAGCGCGGCAGCAGCGATTCGTCCATCTCCCTGCAGGTGGAGCCACAGGCGTATTAAACGACAGTATTACTCTTGTCTTACGTGACATCTATTGTTCATCACGAACAGCGTGATACTGATATAATAGCGAGTACGATCAGCTATATCGATCCACGATCAGCGTGATTAATCGATCACATTATCCAGCGTGATTAACGATCAGCGATCAGCGTGATCTTAATGATACACCATCAGCGTGATTAATCATCAACGGAGCAAGCGTGATTAATCGATCACGATCCTAAGCGTGATACGATTAATGCGATGCACGATCAGCGTGATTAATCGATCACGATCAGCGTGATTAATCGATCACGATCAGCGTGATTAATCGATATGTCAGCGTGATTAATCGATCTGCATAATCCATCCGACTCAGCGTGATTAATCGATCACGATCAGCGTGATTAATCGATCACGATCAGCGTGATTAATCGATCACGATCAGCGTGATTAATCGATCACGATCAGCGTGATTAATCGATGCAACGCATCAGCGTGATTAATCGATCAACGAATCAGCGTGATTAATCTATCACGATCTCTCATCAGTGATCAACTGAGTGCAATCGATGAAGCAACAGTGACTACAATTACGATAACTATAAGATTAATGAAATGCATTACAACGATGAATAACTGTAATAATAATAATGATAACAAGTGCTGCAGAGCGTCTGGGCTCATCTGAGGTCTGTTGCTACGGTTATAAACGTAACATTTAAGTCGTGCGTAGTGCACCTTGTTAGGCAGATATGCGGATACCGCAGTTGTGCGTACACCTCATTTCGAGCAACCTTCTGCAATTCTGCATACCATCCTAAGTCCCATTGGTTGATACCAAATCGGGTGCTAAAGGCCCGCTTATGTCGGCCTTGAACGCCCTAGTCGCCGACAGAGATTAATATAGTACGTCGGGAAAACCTGGCCAGAATCGCGATAAAGACATGCGGCCGACCAAACTCGACATGAGTTCTCTTACGAATCCGAAAATACGCGTCGCCGACTGCGATCGCAGGAATAGACATGCTTCTATTTTCTATGCGGCTGTCGCGACCAAATCGTGAGTGCAGCCATACCCGCAGCGTATCGGTCACATGAATCTTATCAAAATCAACGTGATTAATAAAATGGGCAGGCCTCACAGCACGCCTCAGCAGTGAGTACAAGTGAGCGGATTATTGCACAAACCCTTATTCTCAAGTAGTGTATTAAGTTTTCCGTATATCAGCATTGAAAAAATTCCTGGCACATGATGATAACGAGTGTTCAGAAAATGAGCAAGAATTTACGAAGTTACATGATGTTTACGTGTAAGCGCCATTTTGTTAGTCACTGTACATGACTCCTTTATGTAGACCTATAGCTGAGTCCCGGCGTCAAGCGTTGCTCTGTTTGTGCTAAAGAACTGCTTGTGCTAGTAACAAATACTGACGGCCGCGAACCCGTCTACGTTTTGCGCAGGAACGCTACGATCTGATCGCGCCTGTGCCAGCGTATCACTTACAATTCGACATGAGTGTGGCTACGGCTGCTAATCGCGGGCTAAATGTGTCACCGATAGTCAAATCGACTAGGCTCGACCGTAGCGGGCCTTAAAACTCGCTTTTTTATGGGGCATTGTGACTGCTTAACCCTTACCCCTATTAAAACAAAACAACAAAAAAACTTGCCTGTAAAACTTATTTGTTGTTACTAAATTGTTGTAACCATAAATCATGATAATATTTGCGTTAATTGGGAAAAATAGTTAAATGGATAAGAAGATAGAAAAATACAGAAAACAGGTAAAGTAATAAAAAAATCAGATGGGTTATTGCGATCCAACGACCTTTGAGCCATGACGCCTGGTGTATTGCGTTCGGCTATCCAGGCCTTATTGGATTTCTACGATGTATGGATGTGACATGAATATGACAACACTGTGACGTCCCCTTGAGGCAGTTCAGGAATCCATGTTTAACGCCTCCTCTGAGGGTCAAAGAGGTTATCGACACTTACTCCTTTCGCAGACGTCAAGTGATGAAGCACATTCATGGTCCTTTCAATAAGGTGATAAATAATGGTAGCGTCAGCGCTGAAACATAATAAAGTATTTCACTGCTGCCATTAGGCCATGTCCTCAGAAAATGTCTGGAATGCTGACCTTTCCCCCTCTGCCGCTTTGACCCTGTGACCTCCAATTTCGCACATCGGTGATGGGTTTCCTTGCCCATCCCGCAATACACCGCAATATTAGGCGTAGGTACGAAGCGTTAATATTTTGCCGCATTTCGTAATTTCCTCCTTTACCTTAATTAAGGGGAAATATTCCCCTCCATTTTACACATCTTGACCTTTGACGCCTTGAACCCCCAAATCTCGTGCATCCTGAGGCCTTTTCACGATCCACCCCGACGTCCCGAATATCGTGACCGCTACGTCGAGCCGGTTAAGATTTGTGGCGCAATCTGTTGACGGACGGTACGCACGCACGAGACAGCACGCACCACAAGCACGCACGCACGACACGCACGCACCACGCACGCCGCCACGCCGGAACGACGCACGACTGCACGAGCACGCACGCGACGCACGCCAACTGACGCACGCACACGCACGCACGCCCTACGCACGCACGCACGCCACGCACGCCACGCACGCACGCACGCACGCACGCACAGCACGATCATGCGATTCTACAAAGCTGCACCTGACTACGTCAGATGAGCTAATAATAACGATGACAGATTATCAAATTCTGATTGATCCCAATCATCACTATCTGTACTCACAGTTTGAGCTCCTCGTACAACTTTGGCAACACAAGCACGTCTGCCGACGCATACTCGATCATCTGGCGGGTCAGTGGTCGATGGCACCAGTACCTAGCAATGGAGTACACAGCTCACATAACAACGACCATCCACGAAAATTGCACGAACGGCGATGCAATTTTTGTATGACATCAGTGCGAAATGAGAGCTTTGCGAAAAACGAGATCATCGCGAAAAAGTAAGAAAGCATCACGCGAAACAAGAGAGCACCGTCAAAAGCAAGAAAGCATCACGCGAAACAAGAGAGCATCACTAAAAACGGGACAGCGTATCGACAAAACGAGAGAGCATCGCAAAAAACCAGAGTGCATCGCAATATAAACAGAGTGTCGAGAAAACGACAGAGGGTAGAGAAAAACCAGAGAGCGTCGAGCAAAAAACAAGGGAGCGTTCGCGTCACGCACCTCTTGTTGCGTTTCATCAGCAGCTTGACGACGTCCTTGGATCCGTTGTGAGCAGCGCCGTACTCCACGCACAGGTTGCCGAGCGATATACGAGGCTGCTCGTTGGCGGGCTCCCCGCCGCACTGCTCCTGCACGAGCGCGTACGCCACCTAGCGAGGAAAATCCACAGTGAATTTGCGGCCGGCTGTGTGACATCAAGCAAGAGAAATATGTGGCATAAACGCGGCAGGGTGTACGCCACCTAGCAAGAGAAATATGCGGCATATACACGGCAGGGTGTACGCCACCTAGCGAGAGAAATATGTGGCATATACGCGGCAGGCTATACGACACCTAGCAAGAGAAATACAGACCTGCCAACCTGTGATTCATGAAAATAGTAAGGATTTTCTTTTCTTGCAGCAGGCGGCCATTTTGTTTGTATGTTATGCGCGCAATGAATGATGGGACTAACTCTAGATAACGCGAGAACAATGTGAACGTGTGATCCAATATGGCTGCGCCCACAATCGCCAGATATTTCTCGGCTCACAAGTCGTAAAATTTTTTTAAGTTTTTCAGTTTGATCGTACATTCATAGAAACATCATGGAATTCGTAAGGAATACGAAAAAATCGTAAGGGTTGGCAGGTCTGGAAATATGCGGCATAAACGCGGCAGGGTGTACGCCACCTAGCAAAAGAAATATGCAGCATATATGCGGCAGGCTATACGCCACCTAGCGAGAGAAATATGCGGCATATACGCGACAGGCTATGCGCCACCTAGCGAGAGAAATTCACAGTCAATTCGTATCAGGCTGTGGGCCACGTAGCAAGAGAAATCCGCAGAAAATTTGTGGCAGGCTATACGCCAACTAGCGAGGGAAACCTGCGGTTATTTTGCATCCGGCTGTGTGCGACGTAGCGCGAGAAATCTGTGTAAGCACACATGCAGCGAGATAAAGTACCTGCGTGTCAAAGACATTCTTGAGTTCGATGCCAAATTGGTAATAGAGGGCAGCACTATCGCACCTACAGTCGTGGAATATCTGAAAAAGGAAATTAGGGCAGACAACAGTTGAAATAGACCCGCATTTCTATACCAAATACTTTGTTTCGTGTTTCTTCCTACTGTACTTAACCACAATCTGACACAATCATTACTATTAAACCACTTGAGTGGAAATATTACTGACATCTATAATAATACAAAAATATCACATACAAAAAGCGATATTCTAAGATAATCCATTTATAAACAAAAACCGGTGAACACGGTTAATGGTACGAAATACATTGAAAAACAATCTCAATGCCCAGCTACTTCGTGAAAAAATAGCTAGCTACCACATAAAAAAAATTGTTAAAATTTAAATTCAATGAAAAATTTAGTCAGCTAATATGGAAAAAAGTGTGACGAGACTTGAAAATGACCTTGACTGTGTCCTGCGAGCTCAAGATCGAACTTAGACTGCTCTTCATCACGAGGTCCTTGTTTGCCTGGATGTCAAACAGGAACACCCTGCCATCTAAGGTACCGATCTGCAGGAGCGTCATCATGCACTCTACCCTGAGATTCAATCCTTCTGCATCCACAGCCAGAACCTAGGCAGTACCAAAAAACGTGTTGTTTTGCAATAGCCGAAAAGATATAGAGAGGGGCATGCTAATACTACTGCATACGCCATACTTTTCGCGTACAGGAATACTTTTCGCGGGTATTCAGACTTGACGGAGCAATTTCGGCGAAGTGGTTAATTTCGCGATGCGGTGACATTCCCGACTCAGTGAAGAACGCAGCAACATTGTATTTTCGGCTGTGTGTGTTATTTTCGCGGTCGCGGCGGAAAGCATTCACGAAATTCTCAGCGAAAATTAAACCACCGCGAATATACAGCGTATACAGTAGATGCCTGGATAGAATGGACAGAGTCCAGTAGGAGTGCCAGAAGATGTCTGGCTGCATCGTTTACACAGCCAGACTTTGAATGTCCTGTCATGACGGCATTGTAAGATACATGAGAATCATCAAAAAAATGAAGATAATGTGTAAAAAAGCAGGTTATATTATGTATGAATATAATATACGGCCATAATGGAATACACAAATTGGGAGCTTGCCTTTTCCTTTTCAAGTTCAGCGACAGCCGCCCGCGCAGCGCCCAGCCGTGTTACTATAACAGGTTTCTGTGCAGTCGTGCCATCTGCTATCTCCTCACCAGAAGCCACTGCAATAATAATATAATTAATAATAATAATAATAATAACTATGTAGCACTCGGAGAAGGCACAGACCATCCGGCCAGGCAGCTGAATTCTCCTCAATGTGAATTTTTTTCATTAATTAATTAATTAATTAAGTTGAAAAATTAATTAAAAAAAAATTGGATCCGGATTAGTGCGAGCGTTGCAGGTGGGGCGGAAGGAGCTGTGTTTGCCGCCTTAAGCCTGTGGTTGCGTATTTGTAAGTCTAACAGGCCAGCGCACCTAGAGGAAGTGAACTGAAACGTGCATGGTAACAAACACACAACCCACAAACACACAATAACCAACACTCAAGACAGACACGCCGGTGAAAACATAACCTCCACCAAGCCCCTGGCGGAGGTAATAATAGTATTAGTAGTAGTAGTAGGATGTAGAATTTTTCAAAATTCACACGATGAGAGGCTGTGAAAGGGGTGACTGTGACCCTACTGCCGTAATGATGGTGGGTCTACCTCACAGTCTCGCACATGTTCACACATTTTCCTACATCAACCCAGGTTTAGACAGTAGGTGGTAGATACAGTATAAAGGGAGTAGCTAACTCATTCTACCTGAGCCACGTGCGATTTGTGTTCTGGGCAGTTCACTGCGAGCTGTTTGCCATTGGCTATTGACCACATGATAGTATTTATATTGATCTGGAAATAACTAATTCCACAGAAAACCAGTTCCCATTAAGTATAGGGGCTGCTGTGTGGCATGGCCTTTGTTTTGTGATTGTAACCAGGTCAGCTGGCTATGCATGCCAAGCATATAGACTGTAGACACACCCACACCTACCCCCCTAGCCTGCATATTCCTGCTTGTGATAAATAAATCATGTATGAAGATCAGGGTTTGTAAACACAACCACAGCAGTCTACAGATGCGGCATCCTCCCGTATGCCTGTAATCCGCAGTGCTAACAATGCCCATGTAAACATTTCGCTTACTTAGCTACCTGTCAATAACGCATAGGCGAGGGTCTGTGTGCACGCTACTACGTATGCTGCATTGCGGTGCTGTGTGTATGCTGATACCTGTTTGCTATTGAAGTTTATTACTGCTTACCGCTTGCAACCTGACACCAGTCTGGAGCTTTGTTCAAAGACTTCGACGTCACTGTCCTCGGCGAGTCGGTGGTTCTTGTGGCGCCCTCCAGCACACAGCCGCTGTCGTCGCATTTCTCCGGGCAGAGAGATGTAGCCGTAGACTCCCCAGTAGGGGTATTTTTAGGTGTGTCCCCCCTACCTTGAGGTTTTTTGCCTGTGAATTGCCGATGGAGTAAGGACATGGAGTTAGGAGTCTGTCTCTCGACTTGCCAAATTCGCAACCGGTTCCTGCTTATCAACTTTTCTTCATAGAACGGACCTCTAAACACCGCGTATGAGAAACTCTACCACCTTTTTATCAACGGTCTTTGAGAAAACGTTAATTATAAGACTACTGATGTTGAGACTAATTTTGTTTTTGACAATGGGTCCCAGTGTTGGAAACAGCAGTGTGTGTGTCCCACTCCGGGACCAGCAATTTTATAATTCTACATCTTTTCGAAATCAGGACTGGCTCGGTCTTCCAAGTTATATTTCCAGGTTATTTCCAACTGTCCGAACGTCCCCCCGGGTTCTCACACCTCTCGGCGCCAGACTGATGTTGCCATCGTGTATCCTCACGCCCCGCATCGCCTCGGCTAACTTCAGCATCTCCGCGGGGTTGCGACAGTGCTTCTCGCATATGGTGCGGCCGAAGCGGTGGTTGGCGTGGCCGTGTAGCTGGACACTGGTCAGGCTGCCGCGACTCCGCAGGACGCTTGCGATGTAGCGTTGCACCTTCGCGAAGCCGCCGTCATCATCGACGTCGTCGTCGTCCTGACAACAGTAGAGTCAGATAGGGTCGCCATGGCTCTACCTGTGAACCCCTTCGCTACCGCTACCGGGCTGTGCGAACAACGTAGCTCTACCTGTGTAGCCTTCACTACTGCTACCGGGCTGTGCGAACAACGTAGCTCTACCTGTGTAGCCTTCACTACTGCTACCGGGCTGTGCGAACAAAGCGAGTAAGCTCTACCTGTGTAGCGCTTCACTAGCTGCTACGGCTGGGCTGTGCGACCACGTAGGCTCTACGTGCTGTGAGCCTTGCACTACTGCTAACCGGGCGTGCGAAGCAAACGTAGCTGCTTACCTGTGTACCTTCACTACTTGCTTACCCGGCTGTGCGAAGCTAACCCTGGCTCTAGCCTGTGTAGGCCGCGTCCTGACAACAGTAGAGTCAGATAGGGTCGCCATGGCTCTACCTGTGTAGCCCTTCGCTCCCCATAGGGGGCTGTGTGCGAACAACAAAGCTCTAACCATATTATAGCCCTTTGCTCCTCATAAGGGGCTGTTGAAAGTCTTGCGTCTAAGCTCGACTGCACTTCTTTTACAGTGCAATTTTAAACGTGTTATATGAAATTTTGTGTATTCTGCGAGAATTTCTATGCATCCATACGCCATCAACGTATTGTAAACAAGTCTTTGGAATTAAATGCTGTAATGATTTCCAAAGGTTTCAAATTAATGAATAAATAAATTCATATACCAATACACAAATATATAAATAAATAAATATATACCTCCTCCACTTGTGTTGGTGCTGCGCTTGCAGAATCAACAGGATCTGTCTCCTGTTTATCTGGAAGATCTTGGTTCTGTTTTTTCACTCTGGACCTTTTATGTCGCCTCCCTCTCTTTCGTTGGAATCCAGGATCTGTGGTGTTTGTCTTCAGATAGCCAGCGCATCCCTCACCGCTCGATAGTGCTGCAGGTGTGAATTAGAACAATCATATTATAATGCAATCAAAGAATGCATATATATAGGATATAATCAAACTTTGTCCATGCATGATTAGGGTTAACCAGTGTAACATCTGTTTTGTACGTGTTACATGGATTAGTCAGTGGAGCTAGACTGGTAGTTGTTTTAGCCATAGTCTAGCTAGACAGAGCATCGCTCAACAAGATGCGCGGCTACGTTGATGTATTAGGGAGAATGGCAGACGTGGTTGGGTTAGACAGATTAGAGGGTCATTGTGAAATGGGGGGTAGGACGTAGTCTGTGAGAACGGGTACATGTGCGTGGAGAATGTGGTTTGTAGGAGTTTTAGGGGAATATAGAGACGGAGATGGGAGGATTCTGGTTCTGGGCGCGGAAGGAGGCACACGCGCGTATGCGCGTGTGCGCGCGTTCTTTGTCTCTTTGTGCGATGTGACGACACTGTGTATGCGTTATTAAATATTATTCCGGTTACTACAACAAGTTTGGATTTATAGCATCATTCCTGTTTACACCAGCCTAACCACATGGACTGAGTTAGGATTAGGTTAGTGGTCGCAGTTAGAGTGATAATAATGTATTTTGTATAATGTATTTAACTATTAACATGCATTTTGAAAAATAATATGGATTAAGGAATCTAAAGCCAACCTGAGCCCAGGAATACACTATTTTTTCTTTCTATATGGACACTGAAAAGGAAGTGTTCACCATTCGGGAATGCTGTAACCTCGATCACATTTAGATTTCATACCTTTTTCCGGAATTTCGCTATCATCACACTCTTGCCTGGCGAGGTTCGGCGGTGTGTCGACAATGCAATTTTCCAACCCTGGAACTGGGTTGTCCTCCTGCAGTGCATTCCTTTTTTTGCGGTTATAGACTGGTTCGCATGACATCGATTTGCAACCTGACACTTGCATACTCCTGCCATCAGTCGAACTCGACAAATTCTTCCTGTTTTCACGTTGGAACGTGTTCGTAAATTCACTATGTACGGTCGAGTTGGCGACGATATCGAGACCATTCCACTTACATCTGCAGCAACTCATGCTAACTTGTGTGGACCTGTTTTTGTAGTGCTTACCACCTCTCTCTTGTATAACTTTATCGATCCCAACCTGAAAGCGATCTCCAGAGTTCGTCATTACCGTATCTATATAGTATCATCACACGTCTAGCAGGCGACTCTAGACTCTAGAGTAGAGTGTTAGACGGTTCACGTATCATGTGTCGCACAGTAGTGTGTAGACGAGTCGTTGGATGAATCGATTACATGAGTAACCCTACAACAAAACAACATCCCAGTCATAGAAATATATAGATATATATAATCTATACAATAGCTGGCCCAAGCCTAGTTTAGCACCCCAGATTAGTTTAGCACATAGCTACCCAGGTCCTATGAGTATGAGTATGAGTATGATGGGATAACGTTGAACTTCAACTTGATGGCCCTGCTAATGTCAGTGTCACTGTCACTGTGAGTGGCAGGGTAACCAGATGTCCGTATTTTGCCCATGTGTCCCGCGTCCCGTACCGATCCTTCCCGGGACACATGTTTGTCCTGAAATTTTTAACATTTTTAACAAAATACATCAAACAAGTGCTGCATAGCGACAGCGCTCATCTAACGTCT